TGCTCTGACAGAAAAACTTTTGGGGGATCATTTCCACATAAAAAAAAATGTAGTTGTTAGGGCTTCTAGTCCCTGAGTGGGCTTAAAACGTTACAATAGCAAAGTGTCTTGATGAAGGCATGAGCTCCCGAAACCTGGCATCTAGTGTGAAATATGTAAAATGTGGGTATGCCTCTGGGATGTTAAAAGGCGTCCATCTTTCTTTCCGGCGCACAGGAGGCTCACTTTATACCTGAGTTTCCTCCTTAGGGAGTTGGTGTATCACTCTAGATGGGGCTTCAGAACAATGGGTTTAAAGCCGGTGGACAAAGGAATGAATGCTGATAGCTTTGGTCCTGTGTAGACGGTCTCAACCAAGTCAGTATTTAAAGATGAGAGACTAGACCGGTAGACTACTGCCTTGGGACTGAAAAGGAAACCCTTTGAGGAGAGTTCAGAACACTGAAATGCGGGTCTGGCTTCTTGTTTATGGGTCACAACCGTGGGTCAGGGTGGTGTGTGTTTTTCCATCAGCCGGGTGGAGCCAAATGTTTTCTTGCTCCCTACTGGCTGATCTGCTCTAAGTAAAGAGGTAATAATACTGGCATCAATGTCACGAGTCATTTTCCTGTCTTGTGCCGGAGAGTGACACTGCCATTCCATGCAGGACAAAGCCTTCTCGTATTCATTTAGGTCTGGAGGTTAGAGGGTGATGGTCTTGTGAAGCACTGTCTCTATGGGCACGTAAGTGGGTGGGTGTGCTGCTGGCCCTCAGACCTGTCCACGGCTCTGCCACTTAGTGCGCTGGAAATATGGGCAGTCTTTGGAAATAGATTCCTTTTTTTTCCACTTTAAAAATTTTATTTAATGTGTTTGGATGTGTGTGTGTGTGTGTGTGTGTGTGTGTGCTCGCACGCACATGCCCATGCACTATGTACCACATGTGTGCCTGGTTTCTGCAGAGCCCAGAAGAAGCCGTCAGATCTCTTGGGACTGGAGTTACTGGTGGTTGTGAGCCACCACGTGGGTGCTGGGAATTAAACCTGGGTCCTCTGGATGAGTAGACAGTGCTCTTAATCATAAAGACACCTCCCTAGACCTGAAAGTAGATAGATACCTTTGTAAAATTCTAGACTTTGCAACTCAGATCCTTGGTTTTCTCAGGGAGACCTGTTGGCCTGGATTACCCCTTACCTTCTCCACACTTCCCAGCACGGGAAACTAAAAACCATACGTACACCCTGAGTGGGTGGGAGTACCTACACAGCACTGCTTTGGCCTTGACCTCCAGTGGCCTTGTAGTGGTCTTATCCACTGGTGTCCCCTCCCATGCTAAATCTGCTTATTTTACAGGTATTTGGTGACATTGCTTCCCTCTAAAACTCTCCTGCCTAACTCAGTTTTCTCTTTCTGGCAGAGACCTGTGCCCACATTGGCTTTTTACCTTGATGGAAAGGGTGTTAGACATTTTCCTGCAGAGCTCTGATTACCGTCTTATTAAATCCAGGCCCCCTGTGTCGGTCATTGATTGCTTTCCCCTTAATTCCCATTCACTTTGGCTCCCATTTCAGCTGTTGTAGGTGCAGCTGATTAAATGGTTTTATGCAGGCAGAATGACATTCCACTTTAAGGATTATCAGTGTGTGGAGCCTGTCAGTGTCGGGTGGAATAGGAGCAAGACTGTTATTTTGAAGATGGGGCAAGCTCAATAGGCACCCTTCTGTCCACGAGGGCGTTTTAACCCTTGAGATGTTCCCACAGGGCCACTGGACTGGTAGAACTTGGGAAATAAGACATCATTGGATGATGACATACAATGTCAGTTTCCTGGGCTGCTGTGACAAATTGCCACTGGCTTGGGTGGCTTGAAACAACAGGAAATTATTCTTCAGTATCTGGTATCCAAAGTCTAAAGTCAACTTTATCGATTCCAAATCAATATGACAAAAGGGCCGAATTTCCTCCTGCACCCTTGGGGAGATCTTGACTTTGTTCTGCTTTCTGGTGGCTGTACAGACGTTGTCTCCTGCGTGTAGCCTTCTTCTCTGTGTGCCTGTCTGATCTTTTTCATCCTCTAAGTCCATTTGTGAAGGTCCCTGGATCTCACTCCATTGATGCAGGACGATCTCCCTATCTGAAGACCAAGTCATTATGTGACAGAGACCTCTTGCTTAGTTAGACAGCATTTACAGGTTCCAGGGCTTGGGATATGAATCCGTCTTTGGGACTAGTTTCCGCACTGCTATTGACCACAGACCTCTGTGAGATAGCTCAAGGGCAGGGTTGAGGTGTTCCCTGTTGTGAGTCATGGGAGGTGCTCCCTGCTGAGTCATGGGAGGTGTTCCCTGCTGAGTCATTCCATTACCTTATCCCCCTTCCCGTCCTAGGAGTTGAGAGAAGGTTGAGATGGTTGGGGAATGTAGACATTCTTTGGCTTAAGGTGGCTCAATTTAGGATTATTTGACTACAATAGCACAAAGGTGATCCCTATTCAATAAAAAAGTATACTTCACTGTTTTACATTTGGGTCATTTCCTGAGCTGGCAGTATGTGGTTCAATGCCCTTTCCCCATTGGTGACCACGAGTGTGACAGTCCATTTCCTACCTCACACTGTACAACTGAGCCAGGAGGGATGGTATGTGAAGGGTACGCCATGCATTTTCTACATAGAGAATTTGGCTACCTTGGGCATATCAGGACATAGATCCATGACACGAAGAGGAGGCTGTGCCGCTTAGTGGTAACCGTCAACTTGACAGAATCCAGCATCACCTCGGAGACTAATGTCTGCCATGCCAGACTGTCAGAAGTCACTGAGATTACAGAGGAGGGCAGGGTGAGGTGGGTGCTGGTAGAAGGTGGCCTTTTATGGCTGCAAGGAGTGTGGCCATGGGGCCTGGACATGTGCTCTTAGAAGCTTGTATCATGTAAAGATTACCTCTGTCCCCTGGGGAAGTTATTAGGGCCTTGTGGCTGCTATTACAAATTTGCACTAACTTGATTGCTTAAAGTTGTGAGAGATGAATTCTCTTACCATCTGGGTACCAGAGGTCTGAAATCCCAGCGCTGTCGAGGCTTTCTGTGCCTCCCCAGCCAGCCGCCTTTTCTTTCCCAGTTTCTACTAGTTGTTGGTGTGCTTTGGCTCAAGGCCCCCTGGCTCTTATCTCTACCTCCTTCACATGGCCTTCTCTGTTGTGCCAGGTACATACAAACGTCCTGCTGCCACTATTGCAAAGGAACACCTGGGAGGATGTGGAGGCCCACTCTCTTACTTCAGGTTAATCTTGTCATATCCCTTAGCCATGTCTACAGTGTCACTTTTCCAAAATAAAGTCACTTTGATGTGACCCAGGGATTAGCACTTAATATCTTTAGACAGTCATTATTCAGCCCAGGACAAGCAATTAATGAGCTCAATAAATTATCTCAACAGTAACTGGATGCTCTGCTTTTTTTTTTTTTAAATGGATGTCATATTTCTGTTAGCTTCTAGACTATGACTTACTCCTTGTACTTTAAAGACTTCATTGCCAAAGAGTGTCATTTTAAAAAATTCACATGGGCCGGGTGTTGGTGGCGCACACCTTTAGTCCCAGCACTCAGGAGGCAGAGGCAGGCAGATCTCTGTGAATTTGAGACCAGCCTGGTCTCCAGAGCGAGTGTCAGGATAGGCTCCAAAGCTACACAGAGAAACCCTGTCTTGGAAAAAAAAAATTCACATAGAGTCAGACAGAGGCAGAACTCAGTTGTGGCTTTTCAGCATTTTCCCATCCCCCCAAAGACAGATCTGTCTGTCCATCTCTGTAGTAGATATACATATATGTACATGCATATATGTGTGTGCATGAAGGCGTACATGTATGTACAGGTGTCCATATGTGTGCACCCATCTGCATGGATACCACCAGTCAACGTGGCTGTCATTCTTTAGATGCTGTCCCCTGTGTTTTTTGAGACAAAGTCTCTTAGTTACCTGGAACTTGCCAAGTAGGCAACCTGACTGGCCAGTGAGCCCTGGGGATCCACTAGTTCTTTGCTTCTCCCTGACTGGATTACTAGCTTGAACCACCATGCCCCCCGCGGCCCCCCACTCCCCCCGTCATGGACCGCTGGCAGGATGAACTGGAGTCCTGTTCACAGCTGGCCACACTGGAAGGGGCACCCTGGAGGGGGAAGTAAGTGGAGGTGTGTCTTAGGACCTGGAGGGTGGGGGGTGACTCCCTCAAAGGGAAGAGGAGAGCTTCGGGCACTGCCAGTTTGGGTGGAGAATAATCCTCTCCGTCTGTCCTTCCTCCTCAAGTGTTTAGGACAAGGGTCATTCTGTGGAAATGACGCCATAGGAGCATCTGTGGGTGGTTGATTGACAGTGGGGTAAAAGTTCACCTTGTAGATGATCTGCCAAGGACATGGAGTCACCGCTGGAGGCCAGAGACAGTCTGGCCTGGGGGCGCTGTGCAGGTCACAGAGTGGGCAGAGCTGAGCCTGAGTGAGCTGCGTCGGTGGGTGGCCCCTAAGTGTGCGCTACAACTGAAGATGGGGTTCTCTGTGTAGCTGTTTCTGAAGTGGGGTCTGGGACTCACCGGACCCGAAGGAAGGCAGTGAGTCTTAGGAGCAAGTGGCAGAGTCCTTAGTTCCAGAAGAAACCAGTGTCTCATCTCCGCACACTCCTGTGGAGAGACAGGTCTGACGTGGACTCTTGGCTGAGTTGTCCAGACTGGGGTTTGCCTAAGTTAATCCTGTTTTTCTTCTTTAGTAAGGTGTTTTTTTTTTTTTTAACATTCTAGTTTTTTTCATTTGGTGCTGTTTGATGAACTAATTAGTTGTTTCGTTTGTGGTGCTGGGATGGGACCCATGGCCTTGCTTACGCTAGGCAGGAGCTGCACAGCTACTTCCCAGCCCCCACTCTGCGTCAGACCCAGGTTTCTCCTGGGCTTCATCTTCCCCAGAGTTCTCAAAACCCTCTGAGGAATGAGTGACCTTTGTCTACAGTGTCTGGTAACAGCCATGCTTTCACCTTAGGTTGCCATCAAGGTCATCGATAAGAAGAGAGCCAAAAAGGACACCTATGTCACCAAAAACCTGCGGCGAGAGGGCCAGATCCAGCAGATGATCCGCCATCCGAATATCACGCAACTCCTGGACATCTTGGAGACAGAAAACAGCTACTACCTGGTCATGGAGCTGTGCCCCGGTGGGAACCTCATGCACAAGATCTACGAGAAGAAACGCCTGGATGAGGCCGAAGCCCGCAGATACATCCGGCAGCTCATCTCTGCCGTGGAGCACCTGCACCGCGCTGGGGTGGTCCACAGGTGAGAGCCAGGCACGCGGTGACCCCTGAGTCTGACACACTGAGTCAACACTCCTAGCAAGGCCTAACAGTTGTAGCTTCTTCCATTTTCGTGGTTTTGTTCTGTGAGTTGGAGAGGGGTTCAGACAGTTGAATCTAAAGCCAGAGTGCCTGGGCCTGGGTCTTGGCTCTGCCCTTTAATGGTTGGTTGTTCCTGCATATTTTACTTGACCTCCCTGAACTCAGTCTCTTCATCTGTGAAATGGGAGTGATGATTTTCATCTTTACAGTGAGCTAGTGTTGGGCCAGAGCACCAACAAACAGTGTTTGGTACAGAGGACGGGCAGGACAAGACTTACTACCGTTCTTATCATTTCCAAAGGCAGCCATTTTAGTTTCACTTCTGTTGCTGTGATAAGACACCCCGGCAAAGGCAACTTCAGGGGAAAAGGATCAAAATTTGATGTTACAGTCTGTCACTCACTGGTGGAGACATCAAAAGCGGCAGGAGCTTGAAGCAGCTAAGTATTGTGTTCACGGTGCAGAGCAGAGAGCAGTGAGTACTTCACACTAGACATAAGCTCACCTTCCCCACACTTACACAGCCCAGGGAATGGTGACGCCCACAGTGGACTGGTTCTTCCCACTAATCAAGACAGTCCCCCACAGACGTTCCCCCAGCCAGCCTGATCTAGATCCCTCATTGAGACTCTACCCACATGGTTCTAGATCCCGTCAAGTTGTCAATTAAAACCAAAATGCATCGTATGAGTATATGAAAATTTCAAATAAACAAAAGTGTTATCTAAAAAAAAAATAAACAGAAAATGTACAGAACAAAACAAAACCCCAAAGTACAAGGACTGTAGCGAGGGACCAGTTGCCTGGCTTGCCTCACAGAGCAGCTGGTGAGAGTTGGCAAGGATGTGTTTAGCTGGGTGATTTCATTCTGTGTGCCGTCGGATGGCAGCTGCGCTGTAAATACTTCATTGCGAGATTGTGAACTCGCCCCTGAAATGAGGGGCCTTCTCTGGAAGGCTACACACCTTGAGAACAGCCAGGGAGCTCAAGCTTGGCCACACCAGCTTGCTCCTTTGGGGGTTGGGGAGGTGGAGGGAAGTGAATGGGGATTGTATTCATTGCAGTACGGTTGCTGCTGACGGTGCCAGTCCTTGTATGAACACAACTTTAAAATAGGTGACGACATTCGCTTCAAGAAAACACCAAGTTCTTGCTGCCCCTGCAGAGGACTGAAGTTTGGTTCCAGCACCTATGGGGAGGGTGGGGTAGCTCCTGTTGCCTGCGTCGGCAGCTCCAGAGGACCTGATGCCCTCCATGGCCTCTGTGCTCACAACTCACACGCACATCCCCCACATTACCACGCACACACATATGCATATCATTAAAAATTAGAAATAAAATGTTAAGGATGTGCTGGGCCTAATGGCACATGAAAGGCAGAGGCAGGTGGATCTCTGTGAATCTGAGGCCAACCTAGTTTACATATTGAGTTCCAGGCCAGCCAGGGCTACATAGTAAGACCTTATCTCAAAGGAAGACAAACAAACAAACAAACAGCCCAAACCCCAAAAACCAAACAAACAAAAACAACGAGAGAGAGAGAGAGAGAGAGAGAGAGAGAGAGAGAGAGAAAGAAAGAGAGAGAGAGAGAGGTGTGTGGGGAGCTTTCTGATAAAATGTCTGGGTATTTTTTATTTTTATGGAATTTTAAGCAATGGCTGTGTTGCAGAGAAAATTGAAAGTCATTTAACTCTCATTTTTAAAGCAAAATCAAGGCATAAAATGCCCATGTCTATATTTTTACATGTGCATTTAAATGCATGCTGAAGTGTAAAATTGAGATAAAATTATAAAACTCACAATATAAAATACACAATTTAATGGTTTTTTTTTCTTTCTTTCTTTTTTTGGTTTTTAGAGACAGGGTTTCTCTGTGTAGCTTTGGAGGCTGTCCTGGCACTCGCTCTGGAGACCAGGCTGACCTCGAACTCACAGAGATCCGCCTGCCTCTGCCTCCCGAGTGCTGGGATTAAAGGCGTGCGCCACCAACGCCCAGCAGTTTAATGGTTTTAAGTATATTCAGAATCGAGCAACCATCACTGCATCCAATTTTAATAGTTCTTATCCCTCACCAAGAAGCCCTGTTTCTATTGGACCGTTTTTCCATCCCACCACCTTTGGTAACTATTCATCTTCTGCCTGTCTCTGGGGACTTGCCTAGTCGAGATATTTCACATAAATGGGGACCATAAAATACACCGTCTCTTGCTGTTGGTGTCTTGGGCAGCATAATGATGCTCAGATTCCTCCAGATTGTATTGGTGCTTGCTTCCTCTTCCTCAATATGTAATATTTCAGTACGTGGCTGCGCCATGGTTTATTATTCTCTCCATCTGCTAATGGACGTGTAGGTTGCTTCTACCTTGGGGCCATTGTGAATAGCAATGGAGTCTTTATGTGGCCCTTTCTACTTCTGCTGCCCTTGGGGAATTTTTCTCCTACACGGGGAGTTACTGGGTCTTGTGTTACCTCTCCAGAACCATGTATTTTCTTTACATACAACTTTGAATGTCAGCTCTACTTAATAAACTCCAGCACTTCCCAGTTCTACAGGGCCGTGTCCTCCCTAGTGAGCTGGCACCATGGGATCCTCTGCCAAGTTGTGTCTGAGCCCAGGGGCAACTTCAAGGACACCCTGTAGTGTATGGGCTTTTCTGGACTGGCTTTGGCTTGCCACCATCCAGTTCTGCCATTTGCTCCCTGCCGAGCTGAGGACCTGCTCCCCACAACTCGCCTTAGTCACACATTCTCAGGCAGTCATGCTCTGCTAGAACTCTTTAGGTCAGTGTGAAAGGGGACATTCATAAGTTTGCAGTGGGTGATACTCATTGCTTTTGACTCGTGTGTCCTTGTTGTCACCCCAGGCCTGTTAAAGAGAAGTGACAGTGAAGGGATGCCTGGATCTTGCTAAGATGACAGAGGCAGAAACCTCAGGACTGAGTCAGCTTGGACTACGGACTCAGTGGGTCACAGCAGAAAACAGAGCCAGGGGACTGCAAGTGGCAGAGTGTTCCCTGGGACCCGATGTTTTTTCCCCAGGGTTCTGTCCTAAATAGGACCAAGTGCCGGGCTTCTCAGGATAGGAGGACAACAAAGGAAGCTTGGGTGACTCGTGTGAGGCGCACATGGGCCTGCCCTGCAGGAAATTCTCAATAGCCTCTCTAAAGGAATTTTTAACAAAATCCAATCCCTCAGTGCAATTACTGTCAGAATGTCAAAGCAAGGAATTTAATAATGTTTTGATAGCTGAGAGAAGATGCTTTTTAAAAAGCTCTCATCTCCAGCTTTCTCCCCTTTCCTCTCTCTCCTTGGAAATAGCTTTATAATCCAATACTGACTAGGGCTCGGGCCCTTTAAAGTTGGAAGAGAGCAAGCAGAAACAGACAAGTATAGCTTGTCACGGTGCGTGTGTGTGCGTGTGTGTGTGTGTGTGTGTGTGTGTGTGTGTGTGTGTGCATGTGTATGTGTGTATGTGAGTGTGCATGTGTATGTGTGTGCGTGTGTATGTGTGTATGTGAGTGTGCGTGTGTATGTGTGTGTGTATGTGTGTGTAGGCGTGTATGCATGAGTATGAGTATGTGTGCATGTATGTGTGAGCATGTGTTTGTGTGTGTATGCACATGCGTGTAGGGGCACATGCATGTTCAGGCCAGAGGTTGACATTTGGTCTTTTTCAGTTGCTTTTCCAGCTTTCTTTTGAGACAGTCTCTCACTGGGCCTCGGCTTGCTGACTTGATCCCGCTGGAAGGCCTTTGTTTCTTCCTCCTCAGGGCTGTGATTGCACCTCTGTGCCTGGCTTTCATTCTCATGCATGTATAGCAATCACGTTGGTGCCTAAGCTATCTCCCCAGCCCCCTGGAATTTCTGTTAGCGTGTGTCACCACACATGGACATGGGGGATGGGTTGTTATCATATATTCACAGCTATCTCTTATCCAGATGTCTTGACTTTCAAAAATTCCATATAACTGACTTTTAATGCTTTTTATTTAGGGCCCTCAGCATATTTTTGACTGTCACTCCTTTGGTCCCATTTTACCCCAGTGGTGGAGAGTTTTCTTTTTCATGTGATAGTGGAGGAGTAAAGCTTATAAATTATTCTGAGAAGTTAGCATTTCAGAGAAACCTCGGATCGGGAAGACTTGTGAGCAGACAGACTCAGCCATGAAAGGTTGGGAACGGATGCCACTGGCTGTGTGGGTTCTGGGCCTTCAAAGGCTCTTGGTTCTTTTGTTGAGTTCTGAGGATTCGAACTTGGGCCTCACAACTGTGCATCAAGCACATCACCCACTGAGCTGTTGCCCCCCCATCACACCTCACCCTGCCCCATCACACCTCACCCTGCCCCCCCACACCTCACCCTGCCCCATCACACCTCACCCTGCCCCCCCCCACCTCACCCTGCCCCCCCCAAGTCTGTTTTATTTTCCTGCCTCCAGAATGCTCTCCCAGCGGCATCCTCAGACCTATCCACACACACAGGATGTCTGCTCCTCACAGAAGGGTCCTGGGTTCCCCAGCAGTTCCTGGAAGTGACAGACAGGACCCCCCCCCACACACACACACACCTGCCTTCCCTTCCCCTCTGTTTGCTAAGAAACAAGTTCTAAAAGTTAAAAGGATTTATGCAACCTGCCCAGGCGCTGCCTGCTTCTTGTCAGCCTGGGAGAACAAAGGGCCCTCTTCCCTGCTGCTGCCCTCCCTCAGGGAGGAGGACACCTCTCCAGTGCTGAGGGATGAGGAGGGTCAAGGCCCTGGGCGGGGAGGTGCTAAGCCTTGTCTAAGCAAGGCTCCAGTTTCCCTTTCATCATGGAGCCCTTTCTTCTGGCCCCGCAGGCCTGTGGCTTGTCTCTTCCTGCAGTAGAGGCACGGGCGATATTATGTGACCATGGAATGCTGTGTCCAGAGACTTTGATTGGAGTCTGTTACTTTGAATGACCA